TTTCTGTACCTCCAATATATCTTATATTTCTTATATCTCTAATAATTCCTATATCTCTTATGTCTCCGATATCTCGAGTATCTCTTATATCTCCTGTACCCCTATACCTACTATATCTTCTACACCTTCTGTATCCTCCACACATACTGTATCTCCTACGCCTCCTGTTTCTCTATAATTTCTATCTCTCCTACATCTTCTCCTCTAGTATTTGATTGAGTTTTCAGCAATAATTTCACAACACATCATATGCTTGTCCTCTAATAGGATACCAAGACGAATTCACTTTAGATTCGAATGTCTCATCTTGAAGATCTTCATACAAACCTTATGATAAGATCTTTGTTTTCTCCAAAAAACCCTTTCCTAACCAAAAAATTGAAGTCTCAACTTCACAAAGCAACTTTTGATTCAGATTCCTCATCCTCGAAAACTTCTACTCACATTTTATTAACAGTGTCCAACTTAGCGTCATTTTGGTTGTAGTTGTGTCTGTGATCGCTTGAGTGTATTAGAGTGTGTATTCGAGTCGCTCAAACAACTATTTCAGTCACCATCCTAACACCAACACTCGTTACACACATCTACACAACTCCCCCCCCCCCATTCATTGCCACAAATAGAACACCTGTCATCAACAACATGCAACCCGCACAACCTGCAAAATAGAATAACTTCTTTTTTATTGATCAGCTTTTCGACAAATGAATGCTTCAATTAAAAATTTCCCCCCAGATTTATACTCCTAGTCCTCGATAACCTATAGCAAGTTTTCACCAAAGCGTGTAAAGCACGAAAAGCAGAGAAACTCGTTTCTGATTTTTCAGTTTTTCAACCAATGAAAGCTCATATAAAAAATCTGATCTTGGATTCGAATTTCTCGTTCCCAATAACCTATCACAAAGCTTCATCAGAATGCCCAAAACCCGAAGAATAGAAAAGCTCGTTTCTGATTGGTCGGTTTCTCGACCAATGAAGCCTCAGATAAAAAATTCGACCTCACATTCGGATTCCTCACGCCGAATAACCTACAGCAAAGTTTCATCAGAATGGGCGAAAATCCGATGAATGCAAAAGCTCGTTTCTGATTGGCTTGGAGAGACAAACGTACATACATTTTTCAAATGTAAGACTCTTTCTTTCAGAAAAGGGAAAAAACATTTTTTTCACAAAAAAAGGCTTTATCTATCCTAAAAAAAGCAAAACGCAAAATTTAAAAAAACTAATCACGGATTCGAGTTCCCCGACTCCGATTACCTTTGGTCCAACTTTATAAAAAAACATTTTTTTCGTAAAAAAGTCTTTCTGTCTTCTGAAAAAAGCAAAACTCAAAAAATTTCAAAAAGCCAACCACGGATTCGAGTTGCCCGATTCCGATTATACCTTTGGTCAGACTTCATAAAAAAACATTTTTTTCAGAAAAAAGGCTTTCTCTGTCCTAAAAAAGCAAAACTCAAAATTTCAAAAACCTAATCACGGATTCGAGTTCCCCGACCCTGACTACCTTTGATGAAACTTTATAGATGGATCAGTTGAAACAGGTCAAAAAAAGCATTTTTTTCGTTCTATGCGAACGACCACACACACGCGAACGAACATAGCTAACTCATTTCGGCGTAAGACCCTCCTTTCAGTAGAGGGAATAATACTATTTATCGACCACATTCTATCTTATGCAGTATAGAGGCTAAATTAAAATGTTTAGAACTTGTCAAGGAAATGATTAGAACTGAAATACTTCAACAGGCTTTACTAGAGCACTCAGTGTTGGAACCGGACCGGTAGAAGAAGTAAACCGGGCCGGTAGAGATCGAAATTTCATCGGTTGAAAGTTTCGAAAAATCTTCTTTGCTAACCCTGTTTTTGACCATAAAAACTAAGGTATCACATGTTTTTACTGTCAGAATGCGTTAAAAAGTGCTCAAAACGTTTGTTATATTAATCATTTTTTCTGAGGTTCTCTTTAAAAAGATTCATCATGATGAGTGTCTTTTGCATACGCCCTAAACTATTTCATATTTGAAGCCATTTTCTCTAAAAATCGATTTTCAAAAAAATTTGACATTTTTTCATCGGTTGGACATGTGATTCCAACCGACCGGTTTTACGCCGGACTGGACCGGTTTACCATTTCGCAACCGGTTCTAACTCTGAGATCGCTAAACAGTATCTATAGACAAAAAAATCATTGAAATTGGAGGACTGGGGAGCACATGAAAAGGTTGTCTTGTTATTTGTTCGTTATTTGAATGTTTTATCTGATGATGTTTTATGCAATGAAAGATAATTTATATTCGACTATTTGTTTTTTAGTCGTTTCTTCTTATTTAATGATTTAAACAATTTTGTTAAATACTGGTTTTTTTTTGTTTAACAATTTAATAGAAATAAAATTATTCAATTATATTTGATCTATTTATATTTGATATCGTTTGTAAAAGATGCGTGGTTAATCGAAGAAGTGTGTAATTATAAGTGATTGTGAATAAAATCTGAAATAAAATAGTGACATCTATCGGAAAAAAAGAAAAAGTAAAGTTTTATTATTGTATTGAATGAATTGGTTCTTCCAATGAATATAACTTGATAGAAAAGAGAAAATATAACAAACAAAAAGCATTGAACTATTAATTTATTTGATTATTTTAATGAAAGAAATCTATGGCAACAGCAACAGCAACAACAACAAATATTCATAGTGGAAGATACCGTTCAGATAATGATATTGAAAAATATCGATTAGAACTTAATTGGACGAAAATTCTTGATAAATTAAAAACTATAAAAGTTTCAGGTTTTATTTATAACTTATTTTTTATTAAAATAGAAATGTAAAAAGAATTTTGTTTTTGTTTCTTGAAAAGAATATGTTAAATTTTTGGATGGAGAAGCTCAATTAGAATATTACTTACAACAATATCCATTAACTGATAGTCGTCATATTGAACAATCTCGAAATGATTTAAATAGTGTTGAAAATCTTCTTAAATCTGGTTTATCATATAATTTATTTGATGGACAATGTCTTTTAGCCAAATTATATTATGCTCAAGCACGTTATGATCAATGTTTAACATATGTTAATTTAGCTCTTAATTCAATTCCAAATGATATTAAAGACCAACCAAATAGATCTTCTTTATTACTTGCAGAAATTTATGCACTTAATGGACTTTTATTAGAAAAAAGAAAAAAATAATTTAATTGAAACAATTAAATCATTTGATGATTCTTGTAAATTAAGTCAAACATATTATGCTGCTGTT